CAATAAATTCATTTACTTATTTAGTAAAATTTTATGTTGAATTTCGAAAACAATTACCTATTTCTTCTGGAAAATATTTTTCATTTTGTGTATGGCAATTTTTTTAAAAATACTTTTCAGTGAAATAAATTTAAAGAAAAAAAAAGAAATGTGAAATAGGAAGGTATCAGTTTCTCGTGCTGGTAATAATTTATGGGATATGTAATCGAGCGAAGTCGAACCAATTGGAGGCCCTGAAACCGATCGCGATAGCCCAATGCCCGAGACAATGAGTTCCGGCCATTATGGCTTGTCGATTACTCCGATAAGACGTACACACCTCTTGCCAGACCACCGGCCATCTAGAAGGAAATGCCCTAGTATTGGACTCTAAACCTTATATTTTTCTCGTCCTCTATTCTCTCTTTTTCTCTCTCGCTCTCTCTCTCTCTCAATTCCTTTTCTACAATCCTGGGAGCAACCAACGATTCAAAGACCTATAACGACGTACCACAAAGAATAATACCAAACCCAGAAGCTGCCTGTGGTTTATGAGCGCAAAAGACGAGTGAGGGTGAAGAAAATTAAAGTTTTTATGTCTCTGTATTAAAAAATACCCTTTTATATACCAATTTTAAGGAGCTCGATGTTTAGCTGTTGAATAAATATCAGTTTTTTTTTCATGCAGCAAAAATCTTTTGAATAATGCGATAGTTTTTGTTTCCTAACCTCAAAAAAATTGTGTTGGCTTTAATATAATAGGCAAACTTTTTTTAAATAGTCATGCATTTGCTTGAATCTTTTTACTCCGTCGTTGATTACGATTCCGAAATCAGATTTCAAAAATTCAAAATGGCGGGTCCAATATGGCGGACGAATTTTTAAAAAAAGTCGTGGATTTTTATTAAACTTAATATCTAGGGGTTTTTAGGATCGACGATTACGAATCTGAAGTCAGATTTTCAAAATTCAAAATGGTATCAAAATGGGTTCTTTTTCTTAAGTTTCAGACGCGTTAGTGCCAATGACATTACTCAATAAATTCTAATTCAGAATGAATGGAATGTCGTTTATTTATTCATTAAATATAATTTTCCATTATTTTCCCAGTTACAAATTATTTATTCCTTTATGTTAATTTATATTCAGTTTTCGTTTATCTAATTTAATAACATGTAAATTCTATCCCTGGAAATGATAAACGTCGGCATACCAACTTTTATATAAAAATTCAAGTGTATTTTCTTCTTTATTAGTCATGTGGCCACACTCGATAAGAAAATGGTCATCTCTCTGAAAGTGGTAGATTAACCCTCCCTCAAGAGTGAGTTAAATTGTGCGAGTCGATACCAAATCTCGATATATATATACACACAGCGAATAATAGGGGCGTAATGGCCCTTAGGAAAAAAGGGGCCACGCACTAAATTGGTTCTTGCTCTTTATCGTTTGGATTTCGTTAAAAAAAATGAGAGAGAAAAAATTTATAAACAATCTTGTAATTGGTAACCTATAAGGTTACCTCTACATAACCTATAAGGTTTCAAATATTGGAAAATTTTATTTCTTGAAATTAAAAAAAGGGCAAATTAATATGGATCTTTAATTAATATTTGTTTTAAAGGTGATTCTACAATATTTCTAAAAGTCCAACTCCAAATTTGAACGTCTTTTGAACGTATTGTAGAAGCTCCTTAAAGAAAAATTTGCCCTCGGATTTTATTTACTGTTTATTTATTACTATTTTACTATTTTCTATTATTATTATTAACAATTATAACTCTTACCTTTAGTATTTTGATCCCTTTTCAACATAGATTTATGCTTTCTTCTAAAATTGTACCATTAATCGTTTCACATAGAGAGGAAACTCAATGTTAATAAATCACTTCCGGTAGATAGCGCTGCAGTTGCTTTTTCATTCTCGCCAAGTATAATTTCTTTGTTTAGTAAAAAAAATACAAATTTAATATTTAAAATACAATTTTTAATTTAAATTAATTATTTTAAAAATTAATTTAAAAAAAGTAAAAAGAAGAATATTGAAAAAGTATTATTTTATAGCTGCTGATATTTGATCTGAAAAGAGAGAGAGAGAGAGAGAGAGAGAGGAAAAAAAAGAGAATAAGGAGAAGAGAAGGTGTCTATAAAATCGTAAAAAGAGAGTTAAGGGTTTTATAAAATTGGCCCCTTGCCACCATAAGGTCAAAAGTCATTCTTCGACCCTCAGAGGACACACTTAGAATTAATTGAATTTCGAGTGATGGGAACCAACCACGAGTCCCAAATGCGTTTACCTAAATCACGAGGCCATTTACCCGCACGACACTCTCTATTCTTCCGCCAATCGATGCCCTGATTTATCTCAATTTGTTCTCATCCGTTAACGGACATCTTTCAATCTTTCGCTTCTGGCTTTTGAATAATTCACAGCACACTCCATTTATATATACATACTCTTCCACTTCACTATATATATTTGTAAAATAAGAATATATTTATAAAATAAGAATAAAAGGAGTAAATGACCTTAAAAAAATATTTCTCCTAGAAATTTTCTGCATGCGGAAAGATTACCGGAAATTTTACGCAAATGGGAGAATTTTTCAGAAATTACTTTTGGAAGAACTTAAAACTAACATAACCTATAAGATTTTGCTTTTTCTTCTCTGTTTCTGAAATTTTACTAATTAGACATTTTTTATTTTATCTAAGGCCTTTATGACTTTAATCATTTTGTGTAATTCTATAAATATTCTTTATTTAAAGTGTATTTATTTAATTATTAATTAAATAAATAGTAAAATATGTCCTAAGTTTAATTTTATTTTTAAATTTAATTAAATTAGAGTGTAAAAAAGTGAAATGAATTTTCAACGAGAGTTTTGAAAGTGAATGAAATAAGATGTGAATATATACTAGACACCTTGTAATGGGAGAGAAAGAGAAAGAGAGAAGAGAACGGGTTGGGTGGTGAGTGCGTCTGGGTAATATGATCTTGTGGCGCTGCGGTGGACTTGTAATGCAGTTAGGCCTGCCAAGGGGGTCACTTCTCACTTAATAACTCGAACCACAAGTAATGCGAGCTACCGAAAGGTCCAAGTAATACACGCGGCTACTTGCTACAAGATGTTCTCACGTATTTATCTCTCGACGTAACCATGTAATACTTGTCACACTTGGGTGCCTTTGGCTATTCAGGTTTCATTTAGAAAATATAACAAATTAAATATTATACTATCATCATTAATGATGACAAGAAAATTTCAATTTTAAATTCTAATATTTCACAATTTATTCAAACTCAATTTATACAATAAGTTTTAACTACAAATTTCCAACAAGAACTTATTACCAAATAAACTGAAATCTTTTTTTTATGACTAAAAAAAATAAGCTGAAACTGTTTTTTAAGTCTTAATCTTGTCATTCATTTTATTATAATTTATAAATCAAAATCAGAACAGCGGGCACAATGAGAGTAAGAGAGAAAAATCCCAAACATCTCTCTCACTCTCATTGTATACCCGCACTTTAGTGCCAACCGTGCCTACACTTAAGGTACTTCCACAATTTTTTTTTATTTAACAAAATTCATAGTAGAAACAAACAATTTTCAGTTATCTATAATTTTAGTTATAAACTAATACTAATAGAATAATTATTATAACTAAAATGCAGAATATAATTTTAATTTTTCTACTTATTCTAAGAACTAAAATTATATATATATATATACATATATATATATATGATAATTTAAAAAACAATCATCAGGAAAATCGATACAAAAATTGTTTTTCCTCCTATTTTATTGTTATTTCTTGTTTTACCATTATTTTCAATTTATTACCTGATTTTAGGTAAATAATGTGACGATACATTGCGTTAATATGAAAGCTCTCAATGAAAAATTGATTTATGGTATGAAAGCACTGAGAGCATTACCTTGTAAGTATATAGCGTGATATATATATCTACGTGTATATATACACATCACGATAAAGTTTGAGTATATAACGTACTAATGATATCCACGTTAACGATGTATTTTCATCCGTTGAGAAAAGAGTTTTTGGCATCTGGTTTATGATCATGTGTTTTTGTATATATAATATAAAGTTTCATCAAAAAAAAAAAAGAAAGAAAGAAAGAAGAAATGCTCATAGAACAATATTTCTTCTTTGGATCGATAAAGTTATAAAATATATAGTTTGACGCCCGATAGACTCGATAAGAGGCCGGTAATTGCTGCTTGTTCTACAATTTTTTTTCTTTCGTGTAGGAAAAGGTATCATTCTATCTCTATTTCTCGGCACAAGAAATGAGTCATGAACGTTTAAAAAAGAGCATCCCTCCCTCTTTTCTAAATAGCCTCCTGTGAATTCATTCTCTATTTCCCGAGTTTTTTTTCTTCTTCATTTCCTCTTTATTTTTACCTCTTTAATTTCTCATTCATTTCATTTTGCTCACTGCATTAACATTTCCAGTTTTTTTTGCCGCGAAGTGTATTTTATATAGAGAGACATTTAAATCTCAAGTCTTATTATTTTCAAAAGGTTGTCCATGGACAGTTTCTATATTATTTAAAAAATAATTTCTTTATTTTTTTATAAATTTTTTTTTCATTCTTGATAAAAATTTTAATTTTATTTTAAAAATGATGTATTTTAAATTCTTTTATTCTGAAAATAAGTTTTAATTTTATTCTAAAAATGTTGGACTTTCTTTTTCAAAGAGATATTAATAAATATTTAAGAATGAAAGAAATTAAAGGATAAAATGAAAATATACAATTTCAAGAGGTGGCATTTTTGCGATAATGTATATATGTATATATAGATATATGTATATATGTAATAAAGTGGCAAAAGTAACATGTTCTTTATTTCAAGTGAGAACGGTTTCTTTCAACTTTAATAAGAAAGTTTTTTACTGAGCAATGAAAATTCACTATAAAAGTTTAATATTTACATGTAATTTAAAAAAATGGTTTGGCATAATTTTATGCTTTTACTCACGAAAAACAAGTTCTCTTCCATTTCATGGTCGGCAAAAGTCCATATATTTAACACTCACCTGCAAAAAGCAAATATTAATATATTATTAGATAAAAATTTTGTTAGATATTTTTATTTTAAAATACTTTCTATTGTTTTTCATTTTATTTTCTATTATTTAATTTTTGTGTCAGCATTTTTCATTACCAGATTTTTACTTCTGACTTGCGGCCTTATTATTTTATTATTTAAATTTATTATTTTAAAAAAATCAATCAAGTAAAAATAATTTAGGAAAAATTTAAAAAAAAAATTAATTTAATCAACCAAAAAACGATTAATTAAGCAGTAATCAGAATTCAACACTTTTTGCTACTCATTTATTCGTGGGATAATGCTTGTGGTAGCAAATTTTTTGATGCTAATAGTAGCATTAGTGATGAGACGAATCTGAGAAGTTGAATGACGTCCAGAGAAAGTCAAATGAACCTGGTGGGAATCTTCATATATATATGAGAAGTAGCCTGGGAAGCAAATATTAGCTCTGAATTTCTAAGAAAAAAGAATTTAAATTTTACTTATTCAGAGAACAAATAATGAAATGAGCAAACACAAAAATTACTTCATACCGTCAATTTTTTTTTATCAAAAAAACCTTTCATTTTCAATAAACAGTTTTTTTTTAAATTTTTTATATTTTCTTATTAACCTGTTATTCAGAAAATAATTCAATAAAATATGTTTTTTAATTATATAATCAAAGAGTTTAATTAATAAAGTAGTAATAATAATATAAACCCTATAAAGTTTTTTGGAGTCGCTGAATCCGAATTTTTAGTCAAAATTAAAAAAGGCGATCAACAAAATTTAAGTTTTCAAATTTTGATCAAAGATTTGGATTCAACGACCCAAAAAACCCCCGAGTGAGCATTTTCAGACAAATTCCGTTAACTTTTAAATTTCTCGGTTGCCATTTTGGAGCCGCCATTTAGAATTTTTGAATTTTGACCCAAGATTTGAATTCAGCGACTAAAAAACATAAATGATGAGAATATTATGTTAAAAAAAAAAGAAAAAAACGTTTACACCCTTGTGGCACAAAAACTTTATTTTGACAACACTGTTAAGGGTTTATTAATAATAATAATAATGGCAAAACTAATAATAATAATAATAATAATAATAATAATAAAAATATTAATAATAATAATTAATAACAGTAATAGTAGTAATAATACAGTGGTAATAATTATAAAAGTAATAATTAAATTATAAAATTGAAATTAAAAATCATATTTGTTAACATTTTCATAAAAATATTTTAAAAAGGGATAAAATTGAAAATTATTAATTAACAAACGTATGTATAAAGAAAATCAAAATATCATAATACATCAATCATTTACATTTATTTTATATGCTTCAATAAAATTAATAAATTTAAGTACACAATATTTGCAGTAAAGAGAAAATTAATATTTCAATAATTAAATATTATGCATAGAGAAAATTTTGTTTTAAAATATGTTTGTATATATATATATATATATATATACATCAAATATTGTGGAGCAAAATAAAAAAAAGGCAGAAAAAAAATTGTATCCCGAGGGAGTAGAATACATTTAATAAGCGCGGTATATTCATTGAATCGAGAAATTGAAGTTGATCGAAATTTATATTTGAAATAATAATGTTGAGTGCTGAGAGGGGGGAGAGGGGCAATTTGTGTATTTTTATGTGAAAAAAAATCCAAAAGCATACTGATTGAAAATCATTACCAATAATTTCAACAAAATATTTTAACTGATTTCAGTTTTATTAATGTGTACATACCTAACATCTTTTTTTTAAAAAAAGAAAATAACATGTTTAAAATTTATATTTTTTTAAAAGTAAATATATAAATATAATTTTTAATTCCTTAACTAACTTTGTTTGTATACATATAATATATATATAATAATTTTACGTCATTAATTCAATGGTGAATTTGAAACGAGCGTGCAATTCATTTGCGGATTTTCCAATGATCCAGTGTGGCAATGTTATAATTTATGCGCGCTTGTATTTTACATTAAAAGTAATCCTCTTTTCGATGCCATTTCACCATTGTACGGATACTCTGTAATTTGTTGATAGGATTCAGGACAAAATTTTGCGGTAAAATTCACATCGTCCGTTAATTAAGAAATAAATATATAAATATTGCGAAAATTTACAATAACAATTATTTGTTTCTTTTTTAACATTATTATAATTGTAATAATTATTTTTTTTTATTTCATTATCATTATTAATAATTTTAATAATAATAATAATAATAATAATAATAATAATAATAATAATAATAATAATAATAATAATAATAATAATTTTTTAGTAATATTATTTATTTTATTTTTACTAAAAAAAGAATTTGTTGTGTTTAAATATTCGCGCGCATTCTTGTGTCACTACCGGAAATGCTTCTAATTGGTTCGCGCCAATATAGTTGCACTTGGTCCCACATAACCTCTAAATTATCAGTTGTAAAAAAAAGCCGTTGAGCTAAGTGCAAAAAAATTAATCTGGTTTGATAGTATTTTAATCTAAAGTAATTTAGTAAGAAAAAGAAGAAAACAAGAAAAATAAATGTGAAAATAGATCGAGAAGACCAAGAATCAAGAGTAAATGATTTTTGAAAAATTGAAAAAGACAAAATATCAACGCAATAATTTTAACAAAAATGCGAATAATAACTGACATAATAGTTAGGTAATAAATAATACCTAACCTAGAAATAAAAGACATTTATAAAAAAGAGAAAAGATTATTAGAATTTTAGAACTTAACAGTAAACACTTCTGAGAAAAATAAGTTTTTTAGACTTGATTATAAAACAAACAACTAAATTATCGTTTTAGTGACTCTTTAAATTAAATGAAAAACAAAATAATTAAACTTTTTATTCTTTTCATAACAATTTTTTTCTTAGTGAGTTCTTGTTATTTCATGTCTTTTTTTATAACATTGCTTGTCTTTACTGTAAATCTTACAGTCCCATAGGAGTCAATTGACTTTCTTTTTTTCTGAACCCCGCAGGTTATATGAGGTGCTGGTCCTATTCTCACTCAGGAATTCACCTCTCCACTCCCACCAACCCTTTTTTTTATCCCTTTGGGGAACCCCCTCTCACACTCTACACCCAAACCCTCAATCTTTCCTTTCTTTTCAACTTTCATCTTGAAATTCACCCCTCCAATTTTTTTTTTTGCGGCATCCCCAGTATTTTATAACCGTCTGCTCTTTATAAAAAATAGGAGGAAGAAAAAAAAATTTTTACGATTCTTTATTCCCGTGCACGGAATTCACTATAGTCTTCATTTTCGTTTTCTTTACGATGCAACCAACATTAAATGAAACCCATTCTATTTTAACTTTTATTGGGTTTTGGGATTAATTACTTTTTATTTCTATTGTGCGCGCAGTCTTAATATTTGTTTCGATTAAAAAAAAAGAAATAAAGTGACTTTGTTTTCTTTATTAATTTATTTTATGAATTGTTGGAAGGTTTTTTTTGTATTTGTAAAATTAAAAAAGTACGTTGAAGGAAACAAGGTATTTTATTTAAAAAAATAAAATAATGTGACTTCGAGGTCTTTAACATTTTTTTTAAATCCGTTGAAATTGAGAATTTGCGGTTTTCGTGCCAAATAGAAAATCTACGAATTGAGCCAATAAACGAAGAATAGAAAATATTTTTTTAAAGTTGGATCTTAAATTAAAGGAGAAAAAGAAAAGGAGAATAGTTTTTTTTATAGATTTATTTATTTCAAATGACGGTTTTCATTTAATTAAACAGTAAACGTGGATTAGAAAATTAGATTCGAATTCAGAATATCTTTAAACATTTTAGATGTGATGCGCTAAAAATTTTTATGTGATCACCGTTTTGAATTGTGATGTCACATAACAAACTTTCGGCACAAGGAGAAATTCTTAAGAATTGAAATACTTTTTAATGCAAATTTCGACAGCAAAAATAATAAATGAACAGAAAAATCCAAAGAGTAGGGTGAAAATCAACAGTCTATCGACTTTTTGGGTCAACGATGATTCTTGATGAAACAAATCGGTGAGATTTTCCTGCGCTACAATTGACTTTGGAATATACATTGCATCCCATTTATTACTGAGACCAGCTTCCACAAAGTGATTCATAACACGATCGAATCGATCCCTGTAAGGTGAACCTTCCTCAAGATATATTCCACTAGGGAATAATCCGGCAATTTCTTTGAGAATTTTCATTTTCATTTGTCCATCTTGATTTCGTGTCGCTTCTAGGTGTACCAGGGCAACGTCCTCTCTGCAAACATAGGTGATATTTTGATAAGCCATTAGATATTTCAGCCAATTCTCAACCGTATCATCCGATATAATTGCATTCATTGTCATATTTTGAAAAGCGTCATTATCGTCAAATCCACCTTTCTCCGAGGTATTTGTATATCTAACGAGTGTGAAATCAGCATCGATTAAATCCTTAAATGTCTCCATTTGTTGAAAGGACTTCTTTTGCAATTGCATTTCGGAGAGATTTGTAAAAATATAGGACGATTGGAGAAAATAGAAGAACAACATCGATAGTAATACAATTCTCTCAATGGATCTCAGTGGCATTTTTGGTGTTGGAAGTCCAAGTACTATTTGCACAATGTACATTATTTTCCAATAGCGAGTGTTGAAGTTCAAATACTTTGTTATCAATACAGGGAGGAAGAAAATGGACAAAATACTCATTATGTTAATGAGACGCCATTCGTTTGTAAATACGATATACTCGTTCGATAGAATCGGTATCAGGGCTACGAATCTGAACATTTTTGTACCTCTTGAGATGGTGACAAAATTGTTGACGCAAGTTTCGTAGATTGCTGCCTGAACAGCAATGAATTGTAGTTCATTGTGAATTGTCATATTCATAATGCCAGTATTTTCAGGTTTCGTACATCCTATTATATCCCAGTTGGAAGTATCTGGAATTATCAATTCGGTGGAGAAGTTTAGACACTTTGACATCACCTTCATCGATCT